CACGACGCTCTTCCGATCTCCCCAAAACCCCAAAACCCCAAAACCCCAAAACCCCAACATTATACATCATTCTCAATTAGATGATAAATTAAAATGTTATTTTCATACTGACTTCTCTCTTTAAGATAAAATTTAAGTTGATTACTGCTGGATTTTTTTTTCATTCTCAATCTATACCAAGGGCTTTATTTAGATTCTAAAATTTCTTATTTAGCTTTACTATTTTCTTGTTGAAGTCATTTGGATTAATATACCACTTGCCATAATTTTGCTCTTTCAATCTATTAATCTCTCTACTTGATATGATTCTCATTTTATCCTAAAATCTCTCGTGATATTAAAGCTCTTCAATTGGCCTCATATTTTGTTTCCTAATCTTCTCAATGTCTTTTGGATCCTGTTTTCTAACAATGCCCCCTTAACTAAAATTTTCCATTACAGATGTTTATCCTTTTATCTTTAATTCCTTGAATAACTCCCTATTAGCTTTACGATATATGTTATTTTGTTACAAAAAGTTCATCAACTAAGCTTTTACATTTGCATTTATTTTAGTATTAGTTTATTCATCTAACCTTTCTATAGCTCTTTCAATACTTCTTTCATGTTTAGTCATGAACTTTTAAAAGAAGTTATTTTATCTCATATTTTATGAGTTTTGATGAAAATCTTCATCAATGAGGGAGCTATCATTCTAAATATTTAGTGCATTTGATTTAGTTTTTTGCTTTTTCAGAGAATCATTTGAGATTTAAGTAAATGCAGCTGCTATGTCAAAGTTTGTTAATTTTAGCTCTTATTTATCGATTGGGCCTCCTGCTGATATAGCCTAACTTTTCTCATTAAGGAAGTTCTCCTCTTTCATTATCATACTTATTTCCCTTTCAATTTACTCCATAAAGTTATTTTTAGCCATTATTTTAGGCATGCTATGAACACTCTCATCATCTTCATCCTCATTTGATTTGTAAAAGCTTTAATCACTTTCATTATCTTTTGGTGATGCCTCCTCAAGAATAGCCATGCGTCTTCCATCTATGAGAGAATTATAATTCATTTAATTATTATCTAAATTAGATCTTCTTGGTGAAATATTTTCTTTTATTTTCTCAGGACTCTTCATTTTCTGGAAGATTGTTTTCTATCGTGCAATAACATTTTGATTTTCAACGAAAGCTTTGGAGAAAATTTCATTAACTCTCTCTTCTGTAGGATTAGCAACTACAGTATTAATTGATTTAGGTAATTTTATCAAATTCTATGATAAATTCCTTGTTTGCCTCCTTTGTAAAGTTTATATTTTGATGCTACTGTATTTTTAAATATTTGAAACTGAATTGTAATCCGATTGTTCATTCTGGTAAACTCCTTTGATTTTAATGTCTATTTTAGGAAGGTTTATATCTTATAGAATAGTTTTTAAATTTACAGCAGGTCTGCCCGATTTTTACTTCCAAATAACTGGTTCATTGAGCTTGTTCCATTTGATCTCATTTATTAATATTTTTTAGTTCTTTTTACCAAATCAAGCCTCATTCATACTTGATTCATAAACATGAGTTTGGTTATTTCTGTTACTTTAAGGCTCTTATCTATGATGAAGAGTGCTTTTAGATCTAATCTGTATTTTCGATTGCAACTTTTGAATGTATGAAGTGGATCAAAGCTACTTATCTTCAATGAATGTCCGGAAGTCCTCGTCATTCTGAGCTAAATTCTTAATTTGTAGTTCATTCTATGTAGCATTTAAGGTTGTTCTGTTTATTTTATTCTAATTTCTTTGAGATATGATTATTGGCTTGAAACTTTTAATTAATAAAGAATCATCTACCTCCTAGAGGTCGATCTCACTATTAAGGGTTTTGAGTTTGCTCTTTTTTTCTTGAGACTTTTAAGCGCTTAACGCTTATAAGGCATTTGATTTATACTATTCCACAAATTCCATTGCAACTGAATTAATTATATATTTAACTTATTAAATTAAAGATGAGTTTAGCATATTTATTACATAATTATGAGATTCGGTCGGGTAGATAACCCAGTTTAATTGATTTATAATTTAAAGATAACTTGTAAAAATAGATCTTATAATTAGGTTTTTGTATTCTCATTATGTTCACTCTCAAGTATCTATCCAGATCGTCATTCAACCAATTTTCAAGAAGGTCAGCTCATTTTGACTTCGCAAAGTTCAAACTTTCTCCTGAATAAATCTAAAAAATCTCTAAACATTAGTCGCCTGTAAATATCAATGAGGAATCAAGTGATGTGGTACATTCTAATTTTTCAATAGAGTTCAACTATAAGCCTATAAAGAGTACCAAGTTCTAAGAGATAGATAGCACACTTAGATTACATAATGATGATTTAGGAACTATCAAGGTTACCGATATTGATGGCAAGGGACCTTACTTGTACAGAGGCTACGAGGTGAGATTCAACGGGCCATCAGAACATAGAATAAACAATAAAGCTTTCAACATGGAGATGCAAATCTTCCATGACTTGGTTGAGGGACCAAACATGGATCAGTATGATGAGAAGAAGGCAGTGGTGTCTCTTTTATTCTAAATCGGAGAAACTAACCATCATACAATGGAGCACCTGAAAACAGATAAGCTAGACACTATCGACGAGGCAGACCTTGGGGAGATCTTTAGAGAGTCTGACAATAAACATTTCTATCATTACAAGGGTACTTTGACAGTACCTCCCACCCATTAATTTGTAAACTGGTTTGTACTCAGACATGTACTTCCCATTAAGAAGAGTTTGATTCAAAATCTGGAGTCTCATTGCATTCATCAAGAGGCGTTCCATAATTTTACAACCCTTTAACACCTCTATGGAAGAAAAATTGGGAAAAATTTCAAATGATTAAATTCGATTATAAAGAAGTTTTGGTATCCATATACCTTCCTTAAGACCACGTATTTTCTATGATAGATTTATCAAAGATTCATATTAAAACTTAAATAAAAAAGAATTCAATGAATCCTTCCAATTTAAATCCATTAAGTTATTATTTCATTCATTTAAAGGTCAGACAAATGATTATAGACTCAGGGGTTTTGGGGTTTTGGGGAGATCGGA